GGCGGTTGTAAGTAGAAGACAAATAAGTAATAGTTAGTCCTAAACGTTAGTCTCTTCTACACACACACCTTCTCCTCCTCTCTCTCTCTCTCTCTCCCTCTCTCTCAGTTTTTCCCTTTCAATTCATTGAAACTCTTCGATTTCCAATTTTAGCTTGAAAATGTTGAACTCTTCCTTATCAGCTGTCATCAGTGCTCATGTACTGCAACTTCTAACTTCCTAGCCTCTAATGGCTAACAGATGAGCACAGATCGTGATGCTTTCCTTCATCCTTCTATACTTTTATGGATTTTGTTTAGAGATAGCAGTGGAAGTGGTATCGGCAGCACAAGAAGCCAAGAACTTGAGCAATAGGCTCGAAGTGTGCCTTGTCGGAGAGAGAGACAAGGCTTCTGTTATTCCCCATTAATAGGGCCTATATAGGCTCAGAAGTGTAGTCATGGAGCAGATATGTAGTAATGATACTCTTATCATTTCACTAATCTTTCTCATTTAATTCACAAATTCTTGTAATATTTCAGTTCAGTTATTTTTGTCATATCAACAGATTCGAGAATTATTTAAGATATAGAAAAGGAGAAAGTGTGTCACATTACAAAGGATGGATTATAACTAGAAGGTGAAAAGTGACCGGTCGAATGAACATTAACTCTACTCGGTATGATTTCATTTCTTTTAAAATCTTTTTTTTTGTTGTTGTTATTCATACAGGATGCTGATATCTCAAGGGTTACATTTAATTCCATTCCAAACTATAGCTTATATTTCTTGCTCATTAACTGTGACATTTTTTGACATTGCTGACCACATAAGCCACAGATTCTTCAGGCTATATTATCTCTTACTCATACTGGTCATCCACTCATGTATTATTTACCATCAACGTTGTTTTCTTACTGAAGATGAAGTTTTATTTTTGAAGTGATAACATTAATCAAACAATGATATCCAATGTTTATCACTGAATAATTTAGGATTGAGAGAGAGAGAGAGAGAGAGAATGCATGAAAGAGGAAGAAATAAATTGGGAATGAAATATCCTTTCCCATTTTCAAGTTGCTCACTTATGATTTTGTTACTTTGACAACTTATCGTTGTCGTTAGAATATCATTCATTGATTGGAAAAGTTCAGATTTCAATAGTATTTATCGGTTGACTAAAATATAATTCTTATTACTTTAGTGAAAAGAAAAAAAATTAGTCATCACAATTGTCTTCATCGTCGTTATCATCAGGTAGGTTGCTTGATAGTCCTGCTACTGCTGCTCCTGCTGCTGCTGCTACTACTGATGATGATGATGATAATGATGATGATAATGATGATGATAATGATGATGATGTTACTACAAACAAACAGGTTCCAAGGTTTTGATAGTGGTTTTGGATGGATGATGTGGTGTTGGTACTTCGACGGGGCATCATCACCTCTCGCTAATTTCCTTTTACTCTCCTGTCATACTCTATCCACCAAAAGAATGAGATGATGATGAAGAGGTGGGAGAGGTGGAAGAAAGAATGATGGGCTTTTCTCGTACCTGAAAAACAAGATCGTCAGGCTATCGCTTCTTTTCTTCCACCTTTCTCACTGATTACCATCAACAGAAGCAACAGTAGTGGCAGTAGTAGTAGTAGTAGTAATAGTGATAGTAGTACTAGTTGTAGTAGCAGTAGTTGTTCTAGTAACATTGTAGTAGTAGTAGTAGTAGTAGTAGTGGCAGTAATACTAGTTGTAGTAGCAGTAGTTGTTCTAGTAGCACTGTAGTAGTAGTAGTAGTAGTAGTAGTAGTGGCAGTAATACTAGTTGTAGTAGCAGTAGTTGTAGTAGCACTGGTAATAGTAGTAGTAGTAGTAATGGTAGTAATACTAGTTGTAGTAGCAGTAGTAGTTGTTGCAGTAGTAGTAGTGGTAGTAGTAGTAGTAGTAGTAGTAGTAGTAATACATCTACTATTGTTGCTAACCGCTTCTTCTTTGTTGCAAATTGGTGAATGGAAGATCTGCTGCTGCTGCTGTTGTTGTTGTTGTTGTTGTTGTTGCTGCTGCTGTTGTTGTTGTTGTTGTTGCTGTTGTTGTTGTTGTTGTTGTTGTTGTTGCTGTTGCTGTTGTTGTTGTTGTTGTTGTTGCTGTGGTTGCTGCTGTAGTTGCTGCTGTTGCAAGAACGATTACTTTTCTGTAGCTTGGCTTATGGTAGTTTTCATTTCGAATACAATGAACTATTTTTGAAGTTTCAAATTTACTCTTTACACCATTCATTCATTGACAATGAGAAATGTAAAATAACTGTTAAAAACTATTTTATGATTAATATAAGAAAAATCAGTCAATGTTAAAAAGTGTTAAAAGTATCCTATTATATATGAAGAAAAGATAATCATCTGTTTTAGTTTATGGATAGATATGACCGGAATGATCAACCGGATATCATCTATCGTTTTTCATTGTTCGGAAAATTAGTTTGGGAAAAAATATTCCTTTTGTTCAAAGACTCACCCACCTAATTCACATCTACTATTATCTTTTTTTTCCTTTTTTTTTGCTCCTTACTTGAGTCCAATAAATAATGTTTGTTCAATGATTACAATAAGCTCTTTAATGTTGCAGTTTGCTTGATTAATGATTGATATCTTTGTCTGTGTTATCAGAACGAAACAGGATAACTATCTTCATAATTTTGATATCGTAATATGCTTATATTTGATACCGTAGTGTACCACAAACTCTAGAACAGTATCCTGTTGCAGTTCACTTGAATGATTGTCTTATTCTATTTACTTCTTGCTGCTTCTTGGGATATTGATTTTGTTGCTACTTGTGATATTGACCAGTAACATTATTACAGTAGATAGGACAGTAGGACAATAAAGGATGATGCTCCCTCTGAAGTTTTCCATTTATTTTCACTCCGGAACTTGATGTTATCCTTTTCTAAAACTGCACTGACAGCAAGTTCCTGTCATGACAGCGACAGGCGATCGATGACAACGTTGATGATGGTAATAAAAGAGATGGACGGAGAGGGGGCAGATGGACGATTGAAGGGGATAGGTCCTGCTCTTGCTTTTACTCCTTGTGCTCGTTCTTCGAATTTTGAAAAATGCAAAGAAAGGATGTGTACGGAATGGCTGTAGAAAATAATAAAGAGGAAGATGAGTAGATAGGTTGGTGCGTGCGTCATGTCATGTGCATGTGCATGTGCATGTCGTGATCTTCGTGTCTTCCAATCACAAAATTATGATTAAAGTGTGTTCATCTGTGCATATCTTCATGCACCTTGTGTATGTCATGAATTTTGGCTGTTCTACTCTTCTTAATGGAAATGAATGAACTGCAGCGAAATTGTAAAAGGAAAGGTATACCACCTGTGACCACGATGGACAGTGATGGTGACAGCATTGATAGCACAGCAACTCCAACTATCTTTACTCATCGGCTTCAGTTCAGTACCTTAGTTATGCCTCATTCTCTTTCTTTCCTCTTCCCATCTGTCATCAAATATCATTCGAGTTAAATCCTAACCCCGATTTCACAGATTTTTATTGCGAATGGGACCACTGATACAGCGGACAGAGCACCAAAAATGGGAGCAATCGGTCGGGTCGAGCGCACCATTACCTGTCCTTCCCGCGTCCTTTTACCTTTGTGCTCCATCCGTTTTGGTCGGCCGTCACAAATGAACACCAAACATTCATACGACAAATACACACGACCAATTTCGACACAGTTTTCCGTCATCCAAACTGTTACACTTCATGACCCGATCTACAGATGTCTCCTACCTTTGAGCTCATCCAATTTGAACTTAGCTGCACTTCATTCTCTTGCACTAAGCATTACTGCATTTGCATCATAATGCAATTGATAACTAAATTAATGACAGCATGGACATCTCCTTTCTTTAGCTCTTTTATTGGTTTCATTTGATCATACTTCTTTGCAACATGCAATAATTTCCATTCTTCATAATAATTCCTACGAGAAATTCTCCAAAACTATTATCAACTTTAACCATTATTATTGTACCATCTATAATTAACATTACCGCCAATTTTGCTTTAAGTTGAAAATGAAATGATTTTATGCAAATTAATTAATATGAAAATAAGTGTCCTCGTTTACAAACGGTTACTTGGATAAAAACTTTTAAAGTTTCAACGGATAACTCTCTAAAATTAATTAATTGAAGGCTTGTTAAAATTCTGGAAAATATAATCATTCTTCATCTCCGAATTAATACTTTAAAGATGATACTTTCTCAATTGATACATTAAAGTTTGTATCATTCAAATAGGAATGGATCTTTGCTGAACAATCTATTCCAGTAAATCATCCATTTTTGTACGCTAAGAGAGAATAATTTTCCTACAATTATTTGTTTTTAATTTTAGGAAACGTGCTGGACATAAAGCAACAGAAGCAACAACGTGTTTCACGTGCCGTTGAACGTATCTTACGTTTAATTTGCTCAAAACAGCATACAGAAGACGTAATGAATGAAATTCCAACTGCTTCATCGCCAATCTCATCAATATCACCAGAAACAGAAAAACTGGCTACAAAACGAACTGCTAGTAATGCAAACAGTGATGAACAAAGTGATTGCGAGTTGGTTTCCAATTCATCTCTTTCTTTTCTTTTCCCACAATTAAACTAATTATTTAAAAGTTTTGCGGAAAATTCCATTCTTTCCTTTCATTTCAATAGGATCATTTCTTTCGCAAAAAAAAAAAGAAGTTTTCATATGTAATAAATACTCTTTAGTTAAATGTAATTCTTACTAATCATTTCACTTTCATGCTTATATCGTTACGTTTGTACCTTCACGTTTATTATTTTACGTTTATACCTTCGTTTATATCTTCGCTTGTACCTTCGTTTTACGTTTACACCTTCGTTTTTTACGTTTATACGTTTACACCTTCGTTTTTTTTTTTTTTATTGTTTTATATTTTTGTTTTATTTTACGTTTATACCCCAATTTATATCTTCACCTTTATGCCTTTACGATTATACCTTCACGTTTTCAATTTCATGTTTATGCCTTCAGAAGGTGTAAACAAGACTTTATGTCTTCAAGAAGACTTTATATCTTCATGTATCTATCTTTACGTTTATATATCTGTATGTTTATACCTTTACATATGAAATAGCATCATTTCAAAGTAAAATTAGAATGTATTCATGCAAATCTTCATACGTATCTTTTTGCACTTTATAAAACTTTTTTTAGTCCAAAGATGAAAATGCCGAAAAGTGAGGTAGAAGTTGTAGTAACTGAAGATAATGATGTAAAAAACAGGTATGTCAACAACATATGTTTCACTTATTAATTAAAAGAAATTATACTCTAATTTAACATTAACAAATTGTTCATCATTGTTTGCAATGAAAAAAGATGCTTTGATGCGGAATTATGCGATGAAATTTATCTTATTTTTGATTTTATAATTCTCCATTAAACGGTATTGATAGTTCTTACAGTAATTAAATTTGATTTTTTCAATATATCTAATTAGCAACTATTTGAAAAATCAAATTTAGACAACAAATTTAGTAATTAAAGTAAGTAATATATTATCAGAAGTGGTAGTGACCTTTTTTTTTTCAGGCAGCCGTCAACAGATACAATATCCGAGCAAATTATATCACCGTATGATACAGCTGATTTGGTGCATGCAAATGAAAAATCTCTCGCGCAAGTTTTTGGCTCATCAATGTAAATTTCTTTTTTTATAAGTCTATTACCTTTTGCAATTGCTTTTTTCCCGTTTTTTTTTCTTTTTTTTTAAAAGACCTTAGCTTATTTAAAGCGCTTTTCAGTATTAAAAATTAGGGGAAGAGAGCATTAGGCATTTCTACCTACCAATTGCTACTCTTTGTCATTTTCTTTGAAATTTGGATTCTTTTTTTTTAAATAGAATTTTTATCTGATTTAATTAATAAATTCAGTTTTAGCCAAACACCTTTGATAACAGCCGCAGATATCAATCGTATGAATCGTGAACGAGGTTTGGAAATTGTCGCCATGGCAGGTCGATATGAAGCACTAGTGGTAAATTTGTTGACATGTTGACATTTTTATCACTTATTTTTGCAGTAATTCTTGCATGAGATTTTTTCTGTTGCTGTAGAAATAAAAAGAAAGCTTTTACCATAACTGAATAATGATTGATTGAAATAAGATTAAAGTGATATTTTCCATATCGAATTACATCTTCATTCCTTTTTATCATGCGGTAATTGTTACTACCTAATAAGTTATTTTTTGTTTGTAAAAATTTTTGCTGCTTGCTTTTTTCCACAGATTTCTTAAAAACTCTTCAAAAATTTACACAATTTCACTTTGCTTATTTTCTTTTTTTTTTTTGCAGGATAGTGCTTCACGTTCACCGGCTGCAAATATGGAACGTAACAAAATTTGGCGTAAAATAACGGATGAAATTAATAAAAAATACTCTCATTTGAACACTCTAACTTTTGAGCAATGCAAAAAATTATGCAAATATTATAAGCGCAAAGATCCGACTAATTATGGACTTGCATTTCATGCTATGCATTCTGATTTAATTCCAAGTACATATAAGGAGCGACAACAGCAGCAAGCTGCAGCTGCAATTGCGGCAGCTGGTAATGCTACAGCTTATGTAACCACAAATGGACAAATTGATGAGCCGATTGATGTGGATGAGCTACTGGAAGCAAATGATGTAGTAGATGGTATTTGTTGTGATACAAGTAAGCCCTCTTAATCATAATTGAAAGTCTTAATCTTAACTAATTATTTAATTTTTGTGACAGTTTTGCGCAACTTTCTATTGAAAACGTTTAATTTAAAATTCCACCCAGAACAACTTTGGGAATAATTTTGACAAAAATTTTTGTAAACAAGAACAAGAATTTCTGTTATTTCAACCGTTATCAAAAAAAAAAGAAAAATCTTCGCAATGAAACTTTAATTAATCAAATGATGTCTGTTATTTACTCTTCTTCCAATCCAGACTTTTTTTTTTGTCATTAATGAGACATTTGAGCAGTATCTTACAGATGCGTTAAAAGTGAAGCAAACAGAAGAGATTGCGCCACTGTTGATGGAAGATATTGTACGAGAAGATAAACCATCAAAAGATCTTTTGCAATTTCTTGCACAATGGTCAATTTTCTTTTCATTTTTTATTTTAAATTTAACTTTTCTCCCTTTTTTCTCTTTCTCTCCCTTCCTCTTGTTTTCCCTGTTTGTGTCTGATAACATCACTTTAGTTCGTCCTTTATTAGCTCATTTTCACGTTAACGTATGGATATGTTAAAACGTGTAGCAAAATGCAACTTTTAAAAGAAGTTCGTTAAAAGTTGTAGTATTAGTGATTCTTATAAGAGAGTAATTTTCAGCTCAGCATCTTCATCATCCAGCTCAACTGATGGCTTAGTATTACCTGGACAGCAAGCTGTCGCAGCTGTCGCTGCAGCTACTGTCATTGCAAATCAACAGAAGAAGGAGCGGGGACAATATGTTTGTAAATTGGCTGAAACCTTCAACGGTGTCTTTGATAGCCATTCAAGGTATCACCTTACTGAGCTCTTTCCATTTCACTTTTTCTGTAATTTAATTTAATGTTACTTCAACTTTTTCCTTTTCTGTTCTTATTTCTTCGATTTTTTTCTTTTGTTCATTTTAAGCATTTTGTTAAATATTTCCTTGGTTTATTCTCCAAAAAAAAAAATAGTTTTAATTTTTTTATTCCTTTTTTCTTTTCAGCAAAATCTTTTTTTTTCTCTTCAAATTTCCTCCTTGTCCTCTATGTCTTTTTATCTGAAAGGTTCTCATCAGTAATTTTGTTTTCCTTTTTTCATTTTTTTAAAAAGTACTCCAAATGGGTGTTTGTTTTGTTTAACAAAAAAAACAAACACCCAAACGGGTGTTTGTTTTGTTTCCTTTGAGGACAGTGATTTACGTCAATTATTTTAGGCTATATCATATTAATGCTGAACGTAATCAAGTTTGGAAACAGATCACGGATTCTACCAATGAAAAATATGGATCCGAATTGGGTGATTTAACTATAGAGCAAACTAAGAAACTTTATGCAAATTATAGGCGGAAATCTCAATTGCTTTCTTTTAATAACAATGGTGGTGGTACGTCACGATCCGATACGGGTAGCATTAATGGAGCTGCTTCAGCCGAGTAAGTGATAATTTTACATGGAAAATTGAACTCTTTTTGTTATTTTTAATCTCCCAAATCAAAATGGGAGGTGAAGAATTAATCAATCAGGTAATTATGTTAAGACAAATCTGTTGAAGTTTCATAATGAATGTAGATTAAATTAGATCTAGAAATAAAGTAGATGATTTATGACTGTTTTCCTTTTTGTTGAAGTCTGGATTCTGATGCGTCATCAAGTAATTCTGATCTGTTGACACGTTTGGTAGCTCCAATGTCAAATGGAACAAGTGGGACAACTAGTATTTCTCAAATTCGGACTGGTTCACCAACTCTTTTACCTCGGCTGACACCAAGGGATCGGAAGTCTAATATCGATTTGAAAAATGGTTAGTTTTCATGGTTTCAAGAACAGATCTTAAGAGTGTTTTCACATTTTTAGCTCGATTGATAAACTGGGTTTGTCATAGATCGTTACATTAACTGATGTTTGCTTTGGAAAAATGCAGAAAAAAAAAAACGGTAATTCTAAGGTCTTACAAACAAGAATTAATTGTTCTGCTCTTTCTTCTATAACTTCTTGACCTTAACTGCGCTTCTGTTTGGTTCCTGAAAGAACGCAGCAAAAGTCGTAATCCAGCTTACCTGAGGTAGTAACGTCTCAGTCACTTTAACCATTTTAATAACCTTTTTCATTTGTCCTTATTTTGTCCGAATAACAGTAATAGTATAGATTATCTTTATAAGGTTTCGTGAATCATGCTGGTAATGTTGGTCAGCGTATTTCGGCAAATCCCGGTCTGTCATCAGTGGAGCTGCTGGCCATTATTGCTGATCGTGATGCTGAAATTAAACAGTTGAAAAATGAACTCTTACAGGTAATTATTAACGGTTAATCGAGTGAAGATTAAATGAACGACTTAGGATCAGCAATAATTTCTTAGGATAGGCATGCTTTGTAAGCATGACCTGTCAAAACTTTTTGAAGCTATGATTAAGTTCGCTGTGATTAGTTACCACTTAATTTTATCCATTTTTATCCGCAAACAACATTTTTTTTTTGGTGAAAAGTGGTTTTTTTGGTTTTTTTTCTGTTTTTTAGGGTTTTTTTATTGTTCTTTTTATACTGTTGGATCGATTTTTAACTCCTCTCCAAAAAAAAGCGAAAATTAGGTGAGTTATTCCGAAGACTGGATTGAGTTGGAATGGCAGAATTTAGTCAACTAATTAGTCCATCCAAATTTAATGCATTTAATTACTTCATTAATCCATCCAAAATCGAAGTGATTAACTCGTTTCAATTTATTCGAAAATTATTTCAGAAATCAGTTGAACATCAGCTACAAATATCACGTGTTTTGGAGAAAGTATCAGAACTTGTGAAAGCTGCGGTAAATGCCAATGTACAACGAGAAATAATGTCAGCAATGACTGGAATGGCTGGTTTTAGCGGTTTTCATGATAATGGTTATTGTGATAAAAGTTACGACGATGATAGTGATTTATAGTAATGCTACCTTGCATCTTCGGACGTTTCATCTTATTTCCAGTAATTTTTTTAACTGCATAATTTCATGAATTCATTAAATATGAATTCCATACTGTATTCATTCGTTTTCCTCCAGTGTTGTGCAGTAAATTCCAGATGTATCTCTCAACCTTTTTAAAATTTAACAACAACTCAGAATCTTAGTCAACCATATTCATTCTGCTTCTTTATCATAACGAAATTTCTTTCTATGTTAATATTCGTTTATTTTACTTATTTCGGGAGAATTTCTTAATAGTTTTCATACAAGTATTTTTTTTTTTTTATTACTATTCTATCCGTTGCTTGTTTGTTTATTTGTCTGTTTTTTTGTAATACTATTTGTCAAACTTTAATTAATCAATTAATGGGAAATATGTTTTTAAATAACTCTTCATTCTCATGGTAAAAGCATTGAAGACTGAAGATGCCCGAAATTTCTACAAATCATTATGACATAAGATTAATAGATATTCCGTGAATTATTAAGATTAATTAGTCGGAGGGAGGGAAAGAGTGTGACAAATCATCATACCCTATGCTGCGATAACAACTCATAACTTATTCATTTCTATGCGTCTCCATGTTTTTTTTTTTTTCCCACAGGTCACTGTTTATTTAAAAGTTACAGTTTTGACTTATGAATCTGATAAGGAAGGGGTAGTGCCACTTAGTAGTATATCACATATACTCAACTTCAGTTTCTTAGTTTTTTATTATTTATTATCTCTTGCTTTCAAAAAAGAAAAAAAAAAAAGAAAGCTCATTTCCCCATTTAATCTTGCCTCATTTGCTATACTTCATCATTTATCTTTCTTGTATTTTGTTTATTTTTCATTTTTGTTTTTCGTTTTTTTTCTTATAATTAATTTTCATTTCATATTTCTTTCGTTAAATTTAGAAATTTCTGGTATTCTAGATTGTGGAAATTATTTGGTTTAAAAGTAATGATTCGGTTAACAGGAATCGGTTTTCTTTTTTTTTTTTTTTAGTATTGTCGTGAAATGTTTTATTGTTGTTTATATGTATATTATATGGTATTGTTTATGTCATTTTAACAAAAAATTGTTTGAAAGGAATTGGTACAAATTGTCTTCTCTAAAGTTCTGAATGTTTAATTTTCAAATTAAAACTAGACTTCAATAGGAGCTATACTTAGCATAAAATTGCAAACAATTTAAAAAAAAAAATGCTAGCAATTTTATGCCAGTACTAACTTGCAAACATTACTTGCACCACATCATGCTTGCTACTGTTACATGAAGAGGGACTTCAAACATGCAACAATTAACTGTATTTAGTATTCCTTAATTTAAAACATTTCATGGCAAAGATTTTTTGGCAATCTTTTGTTGCTTTTTTTTTCAGTCCGTTTCTTTTCAAACAGTGATTTCTAAGAGATTTACTGCAAGGAAGATTTTAGGATGTATTGGAATTTACAGGTTTCATTCTTTTTCATTATCATGTTTCAATATGAAAAGTTATCCGGATTGCGATTATTAGAGATGTATCTTGGTTATTGTAACGGAAACACAGGACAATCAGGCACATACGGAATATATGATCAATCGATTTCAAATGTGAAATCCTTCTCTTCATATTTACGATAATTATTAGCATATTCTCTATGGGAAAGATAAAAAAAATTTCGATCAGGAAAAGGATTAATTCAAAGAATGGAAGTGCAAATTTAAATTATTTTAATTTAAAATTTGAACAAGAAAAAACTGTCTCATTCTGTTCATGAAACTGAAGACAACCGATAGCTTCGGACCGTTTCCGGTGCATCCGGAAGAGTTCAAATTATATATCATTCGTTATTTTTTACATTGCAGCTGTTTTAATGATGTTGGAAAAACTCTGTAAACTATCTGAACAACTCATTCATAAATTTTTCTTTTTATCAATTTTCAAATTTCTTCCTTACATTCGAACATTTCCTTACCAGTTGAGCTAAAAAAAAAAAAAAAAAAAAATGATGCTGATATATGGCACTTACGTGCGTCATTTTTTACGTGACATCATACGTCCCACTTAACTTGACAATATTTGCGCGAAAAAATTACAAATACCAACATCTTATATTATCCATAAAGCAATAATAGATTAATGAGGTCAAAGTTCTCACTGCGTTGGAACTCATTCCATTTAGAAATCGTTAAAAAATAATTCTATATTATATTTTATGTATGATTTGGTTGGTTTTCGAAAGTTTCAATTGAGACCTGTCGGCTTCTCTTTATTTTTGATAGCTTAATTAATGAGCGTAGAAAAGCAAATTGTATTGAAGCAATCAATACAATCAATTAATGAATTCAGATGGATATTTGCTATAATCATTAACATAAATCCGTTTCTTTCACAAATAATTTTCAATAATTTCGCAACACTAACAGCTCTATCATATATCTCCTGAATTGAATTCATGGATTACTTTTTGATCTTTGAACTTGTCAACAGAACTATTTGAATTTCAACTTTCATATAAATTTAAAAACCGTCAACGACAGATGTCTATGACATTCTCTGTAGTGTGACAGTGATGAAGATAACCTACCTTTGGATAGGAACAATATTATTTCAGGAAAGGGAACGTTTTTGAGTAAATATACTTGTTTTTTTTTTTAGTTATAAACAATGCTGTTTTCTAATTTACACTGATAACTTATCAACTTTAAAAAACAACGCAATTGCTATATTTAGTCTGCAATTATTACTTCCGGAATTGGAACTGTTTTACCGGACAAACAAGTTTCTATTTTTTGTCATCTTCCTGGTACAATCAATTTCAATATAGAGAGGACAAATAGTCGTAATTAGAATAAACGAAAGGTTAAAAGATTAAAAGTAATTTAAGCAGATGGACCTTATTTAGTTAGCAGTTAGAAAAAAATGCTTTCTCGAATAATTCAAGCATCTAATTTGCTGAATATGAACGAATAAATGCTTCAAATTATTAAGATTAAAAATTTTGAAATGACAAAGTTTAAGCGAAATATTCTTTTAATCATATCAAGAGTAATATGATTGAAATATTTTATCATATTAGTGATAATGTTATTCATTGATAAATAACAAGGAAAATTAATAAGCTATTATTACTAGTTTTCTTACTACCTTTTATCACCATCACTATTGCTACTACTACTATTACTATTACTATTGCTATTACTATCAATTGCTATTACTGCTATCATTCTAACTATTATTATCACTAATTGCTATTACTGCTATCATTACTACTATTATTATCACCATT